TTCCTTTAGGGGTTAAGGGGCCAGGAGAGGAAATCTCAGACCCCAGAGGAGGGTGGGGGGACTTGGTCATTACAAAAAAACAGCATCAAATCATGATGGGTGGAAGGAGAGAGCCAGCTCCCTTCCTCTCCTTCTTCTTTCTGACTCCCTGCTAGAAGTGTCTAGGATGCTAGGTCACTGTACTAGCCTAAAAGGCAGGAACAGTAGGAAATGAAGATCCAGGGAGTAGGGACAGCAAACAGACCAGCCAGACAGTGTATGATCACTGGAGAATGTTATGGAAAGAATGACAGAAGGAAGATCACTCGAGAAGGCCATCAAGCACTAATCACAAACAGGCCCTTTAATATGTGACAGGGATCAGTCTTGTTGTCCAAACTGTCAACTGTAATGACCACTGAATATCATTAGTCATAGGCGTTAACAGGCCAAGTTTATGTATATGAAAGTTAGATGGTAAACTGGGACAATCTGAAAAATGGCTGTAAAGAGAAATATCTCTAGGTATATGTCTGGGCCCCAACAAAAGAATTTCCCCCTTTGTGTGTGTGTGTGTGTGTGTGTGTGTGTGTGTGTGTGTGTGTATGAATGTACATGTCTTAGTGTGTACCTGTGTATGTATGTGTATGCTTCTGTGTATGCCTGTGTGAGTGTGTGTGCATGTGTGTATGTGTGTATGTGTGTGCATCTGTGTGCTCTATAAAGCCTTACACAGGCCAGGAGCCAGTAGGCATCCAGAGGGAATTTCCTGCTATTTCTGTTCTCCTGTGTGTCATTTTACTCATCTTGATTCAGTCGACAACATTTTAAGCAGAATCTGCTTCTGTGTGGGTTTCTCGTCACATTACCCACATGATGAAATCTCTAGAAAACTCTGATCTGATACAGGGAGTCAGCTTGTGTTTGAGTACAGGAACCCAGCAGGCACGTGGTAATGTGACTGTGTGAACAGAAGTGTAAGGCATAAAGTTCTCCCACAAGCCTTACACCAATCCTTCCACAGAATGCTCTAGAAATTAGCACCTATGCTCTCAGAAAAGGAAACTGAGGCTAGAAGACATACAACTCAGATTTTCTGACTCCACAATGTTTCACAATCTAACTCCTTTCTCTTTTGTTACTTAGGGCTTTTTACATAGCATTAAGTTTCGTGTCATTACAACTTTTAGAGTTCTCAGAGTTAATTCAGACATTAGGTCTGTCAAGTGCCTTCGTGAGCTCACCTCACAAGTAGCTCCCTGGCTTGTGAAAAGCTGCTTGAGATCTTGGCCAGAGACTGTATTTCTTTGCCTTATCAAAAGAGACACAGTCTGAGGACAGTCAAGTCCCTGCTATAGAGTTATGCCGATGTCACTCAACACCTAAGACCTGCCTTCCAAGCCTGGGGACCAACCTTCATAGAGGTCTGTTCCCTCTGTCACTTCATAACACTACAGACCTGCCAGCTGGAACTCTCCCACTGCATCTCATTCTGGGTAAAGTGACCTTTCTGGGTGTTAAACCCTCAGAAGGTGAGGGACAACCTCTCTTCTCTGTTGCTCATTCAGAGAACACATGAGACCCAAGGAGCAGGACAGGGTAAGAAAACAGACGGCTGTCCAAGCTGCTGAGAACATGAAATCATGTTCTCACACACATCAGTCTAGGAAATCACACTGAAAAGCCCAGATGGGGATCTTTGCCATAGATGACCCTGAGTGACTTCCTGGGGTCTAGCCTCATCACTAGGAAGAACAACAGAAAGGGAAGATGGAGAGTAGACATGAAATATCTTATTTAAGAACAATCTGTTACGGCTGGGTGCATAGCTCAGGTAGAGTGTCTGGTATTCATGAGGCCTTGGTTTTGATTCCCAGTACTGCAAAAAATATATATAAATACAAATAATATATTAAGTTGGGTGTGGTGATGGACTCCTGTAAGCCCAGCACTGGGGAACTAAGGCAGGAAAATTACCATGAGTTTGGGGTCAGCCTGAGCTACATAGCAAGATCCTGTCTCAAAACAACAACGACAAATGAACAACTCAAAATCTTCTTTCTCCTCCTCCTCTTTTAAATACAGGCCCTTTGACAAGTAGGGTGTGAGGCCTTTAGCTACAGGAGATCGGATGTGGCAAAGCCATTCAGCTAACTGCTCAGAGAGGAAGTGGGGCATGGTGGTTTTGAGTAGAGTTTTGGAGCCACACAGACCTGTTCCAGACTCAGAGTTCTACTATTCACCTGATGCATAGCTCGGGCTTGTCCCATCAACACACAGAGGCCCAGTTTGTTCATGTGAGCTACTTATATACCATGTATCGTGATAATGACATACCAGAACTTAACACAGTGCCTGGATAGCGTTAAGCATTCAACATACTTCAACCATCAAGATGTTTTTGGTTTTCATGTTATGCAGATTCGTTGTATCAGGCTAGATGATTTCACTGCCCCATTCAGCTAGGATGAGTAAAGTAATACAGACTAGCATTGCTATGATGGAATTTGTGTGTCCCTTCTCCTCAAACTGCTCCTCTGAATTGGTGTGATGGCACTAAGAGAAAATGCGGTCAGAAAAGTGAAGCCTTCACACATGAAGGATGACAGCCCTTATCAGAACACATCTCCCTCCCTCCAAGTGAGGACATGGCAAGAAGACATCAACCGGATGAGGAAGAGTCCCTCTAGAGAGCCTGACTATGCTGGCACCAGACTTCCTGGCCTCCAGACTTCTGCTTAGGCCACGTTCTGTTGTAGTGAGTAAACAAGAACAAATAACTTGACCATTTAAATCCACTTTTTCATGTAAACATGAGCATATTTAATTTTACCACTTGGAATAATAAAGGTGAAACATACAAAAAAAAAAGCACCATAAATATTGAAGGGGAAAAAATCCTATGCCTTCCTATAGGCAGGCAAAACTAAACACAGTCCTGTGAAGTGTGCCTTCCTCCACCAAGTCCTGCTTTCAACCCTTACCTCTTCCAATCCTGCTCTGGTCTGTTTCCTTCTCATAAATGCTTTGAGGCCCAATTTCTGCCTTTTTTTTTTCTCTAGCTGAATTTGACATGACTTCATTTAGCTATGGTTTCTTCCCTGTGCTAGACCCTGGGGACACAGAGCTAATTAGGGGGTAGCACTGACTCAGGGACACAGTGCTTAGCCCCTGGCCAGCTCAGTTCCCACCAGCTGCACTCTGAGAGGGCTCCACACATGAATTCCTGCCCTCCAGTGTTAGGCTTCCTTCCTTGAAGGAGTTTATAGCTTGCTCCTGTCAACGGGCAGACCTCACTCTGTGTCCTTATTCCAGCAATGGCAACGCCATGTGCTTCCTCTGTGGCCGCCTTTTCTGTCTCCACCACTAAATTCCCTCTTCCTACCCGATTTCTTCCCACTTTTAGATACTCCCCGACCCCTACCTCCCTTCAATAGAAAGGAAGAAAAACATTAGGGGACCAACCAATTTAGTGTGTGACAATTTGTTTCTTCAGTATGTTTTAAAACATTGCAAAGATTAATCTTGAAGTGGCGTTTGTTATTAAAGACATTTTGTAAGTCAGGCTTGGTGCTCACAGCTATAATCACAGCACTGAAGAGGCTGAGACAGGAGGATCACTGTAAACTTGAAGCCATCCTGGGCGACAGCATGAGAACAAAACAAAAAGTTTCAATTCCCAACAATACACACACCCCAAAAGAAAAATAAACACAAAAATGTTTGTGTTGGAAAATGCGAAGAAAATCAGAACATGAGGGCCATGGAGGACATAAGTTCCTGTCTCCTCCCCTGTCTGGTCAGTTCTCCAGCATTCCAACCTTCATGCCCAGGGCCACGAATTGAAGACAAGAACTTCAGGAGAGGTAGGCCACCCAGAAGCCAGGACAAGCCACAGAACTAGAGGCCTGAGATATTGGCTCAAAGCAAACCTATCAGCCTTAGGATATGGGGCCAACTCATCTACTCATGACCAAGATCCAGGTCCCAGGCTTTTGCCTGGGTATAGAAGAGAGAGGCAGAGGAGAAGGTAGCATGGTGGACATTATATGATATGTTTACCAGACTGTAAACCCAAAGAACCAGGCAGAGAATCAATGTGATAAACAGATTTGCTTATGTCAGCACAATCTTCAGTAGAATTGCTTCCTTGGACTCCTCGCCCTTCATGGTGACAACCGAGGGCTCCAAGAAAGGTGGCTCAAGCAGTTCCTAGTTGTTAGATTTGCATGAGAAATGATAATCTGGATGTAGAAAAGGTGACACAGTTGCTTCAGGCAATTAGAAAGGAGGGTCATGTAGATACACATGGCCCTTTTATCAGGTTTTTCCCCTGGTAACACTTTGTTATCTGAGTAATTATTGCAGGCTTTCTCGTTCTCTGAACTCGGGGCTTGTAATGTTTTTCACAAGTGACTATCTATTCATGAAGCAGTAAAAGCTATAAATCCTGCCTTTCCCCTTGTACACATATACACATACATACATACATAGGTGCCTTTATAATTATTTTAACTCAGTCCTAAAATTAATAAATGATGGGGTTGTATCATCCAGTTTAGAGTTCAAAGGAGAACAACTTTGTCAAATTACATATCGTTCAGAACATTTGCTGGTCCTTGCCTCCTGAGATCGGTGATCAGTCAGAAAGTGCACACCAGGAGATGCAGGCCAGAAGGGCCCCTTGCAGCTCTCCTGAGCCCTGTAGCTGTTACTTTGCACAGTGTGACTCTAGCAGAAAGAGTTTTCCTTTCATCTCTGTCCTAGTGAGAAAGGAATATTTGGTGTGTAACTAGAGTTCTTTGAGTGACAGGTAATATCGTAAATAAGGAGTGCTTTTTTGTATTTACAGAGAAAAACTATTAACTGTTCAAAATCATTTGGCAGTCTTAAAATACCTTAAGGCCTGCAGCTGTGTTTTATACACAACTCTGGATAATAGGGAAATGGAAAATAAGTTGCAAGGACCCATTTGTGGTCAATTTGAAAATTTGATTATCTAGAAAAACACAGCACACAAGTAGTTTCAACCAAATTAAATTCAGGAGTAAATAATAACACTGCAGACATGTGGTTGAGCCCCACAAAGTTATTCCCCTTATACAGCAGTTTGCCTTTTCAAAGAAAAGACTTCCCAAGCATGGAAACAGAAGCTGTGTAGTTGATTATTATTTAAATAAAATGTGAGTTTAAATATGGCATACTTGGGAAATTCACTTCATTGTCTAAATTAGGACAGTTGTTTTAGTTTTTCATCCAAGAATCTCTCTGGTTGGGCTGGGCAAAGAGTTCATCTATAGAGTGCAGTTAATGAAAGTATCAATAGCCAACCTCCCAGATAACTCCATCCAGAAGAAAGGCTGTTCAAATGGACCAAGAAAGAGCATTAGTCCCCTTGGCTTGCCATCTTCCCCTCCCCCATTAGTCTGTGAGGTACGTTCATGAATGATGGATGCAGGACCTTGGGGTTTAGAAGATCTTGCATTCGTTGATAGAGAAGAGCTTCCTTCTGTTTCGTCTCCTAGCCTGGTTGACAGCCGTTCGGACTGCACATTCAAATACCTGCTGTACTCCACGGTTGCTAAGGGCTGAGCACTCCAGGTAGCCCTTGGCTCGAACATCCTGGGCAAGTCTCTTCCCGTCTATGGCATTGATGCAAGAGGCCCTGTGGGGTCCCATCTCTCTCTGGTCGGTCTGTGTGGCCACGACCAGCACCGGGGTACAGGGTAGGTTGCTCCTGATCTCATTAATCCATTTAGTCTTCAAGTTCAGGAATGAGCTGTGATTGGCTACAGAGTAGCACATCAATACCACATCTGCCTGCTGATAGGACAGGGGGCGGATGCTTCTGAAGGCATCATTGCCGGCAGTGTCCCAGAGGCCCAGGCTGATCTGGATGCCATCCATGAAGACGTCCACACCAGTATTCTCATACACAGTGGGCTTGTAAGACTCCGGGAAGGTCTCGGAGGTGAAACGCACCAGTAGTGAGGTTTTCCCCACAGCACTGTCTCCTACCAACACACACTTGATAGAACTCAGCATCTTCCCTGCCCAATGTCCTACGTATAAGTCTAGGATCCTAAGGGAAAGAACCCTCAATGTGCTGCTGCAGCAGGCTTCATCTAGTAAGAAGTCAGCAATCGGGGTTTATATCTTCAGAACCTCAGACATCAATTATCGATGTTACTTCTGTCCGCCCATGTGAGAAGCAGCGACTGCTTGGGAAAACTTCTGAAGCTTGGTTGTCAACTGGAATAGAAAGACAATGGGGAAACTGAAGTTTTCCCTTCTGATGACAAAGAGCCTCCTCACTGCCAAAGTAATTAAAAATGAGGGTCCCACCTATTCATCCAGTCCCATCACTACCCTTGGCAAAATAAGTTAAGGCCTGTCACTCAACACTTAGCACTATAACATCTTCTGGCCAAGAGACAGGAGTGCTTTGTCTTTAAAACTCGACCCTTGAATGACCACTATAGTGGTGCTCATGTCTAATCCCAGATTCAAAAGGCTGAAGCAGGAGAATCCTGAGTTAGAGGACGGCTCAAGCTTCATAGCAAGAGATCCTATTGAGAGAGAAGAGGGGAGGAGGGAGAACAAGAGAGAAAAGAGGGAAGGAGAGGGGAGGGGAGGGCAGGGAAGAGGAGAGGGGAGGGAAGAGGAGAGGAAGGGAGAGGAGAGGAGCAGTTTGGTAATGATAAGGCAAGGAACTGCTCTGGTCACCACATGAAAAAGGACTCAGTTGCCCACCTGGTGTGTGAATGACACTTGTGAACAGCTCTGAACTGGCCAAGAAGCAGGAAGGCAGCGGGGTGAAGGCAGCTGTGCAGCTGGGTGTGTGTGGCCTCAGGTTCCAGCAGATTGCAACCACTTTGGGAAACTGTAAAGAAGAGAAATCAATGAGGGATGAATGGTATATATATTTCATTTCCTTGTTTGGTAATTGCCCAGTCCTTGTTTTATGCTGGAACACTAACAATTTGGTGTGATTTCTCCCTGAGATTCTTTGGTAAGGTTGGTTAGTACCCTCTACTGGGTTCCCTGCAGCTGAAAGCAGGCTTCACTACCTACAGGGCAGGGTGGAGCTTTCAACATGTTTAAACTCTTTGTCTCGGTTTACACATTTGTAGGACTGTGATGAGTTTAGAGACATGGAAATTAAGTTCTTTCTTCGCCTGATGGGATCATCACCTGTTTAGCATAGCCCCTTACTAAAAACAATTGCTCGAAAACAATTATATTCACCAACAACTTTTTTAAACAGCACAGCACAATATGGCAGGACCTGAATTTTATGAAGGTGCTAGATGGATTCTCATTTGTTTGTGGGTCGGAATGCTCCAAGCAAACAGCACAGTCATGCACACAACAATCTGCTGGGTACATTCTCTCAAGGCCAGCACACTTCAGGCAAACAAAAAGTCTTCCAGACCAAAATTCAGAGTAAAGGTTGTTAAGGCAATTGGCCTTATTAACCTCCCTGATATCAATCGTCCCGGCATACCACGCATGAAGCACACCCAAGGAAGACCTCTGTAAAAGGCAGCGTTTCAAATCACCCTTCTAAATCCTAAGGATTCCTCTGAAGACTTTTTATATACTTGTCAACTCAGTGTCTGCTTAGACATGATAGCCTTTGCAAGTGAGTTAAATAAACAACACATTGTTTTTATGAATTCTTTCCTTTTTTTCTGAACACATAAGCTATTTGACCTTGACCAAGATACTTAACATGTCTTAACCTTGGCTTCCTCCAAAAATGAGCTGAAGGAGGTCTTCATGGTTTTTGACTTCACACTGAAGATGCCCAACCTAGAGGCCAGGGCCCAGGGCTACAATGTCACATGTACACCAGATTCACATTGGGATACTCTTACTCAAGATGGCCCGAACACCCATTTGTCACCAGATCTTTGACAAAAGGGCTTCATAATGTCTCAGTTGGAACTTAATACCCTACCTAGGTCTATAGACAACCTAAACATGAATTTGTGACTTTGTTTACAGCCAACACCTCCTTATTTAATTTTTTATGTTAAGTATAGCAGGACAGAATTAGTAAAATGATGCATATGTCAGATTTGTGGATTATTTCAGTGAAATATTTCTAACAGATTTATAGTCATAGTTCCTGAGTGAATATCTTTGAACAGATGTCCCTGAGATGTCATGTTAAGAATGGGAGGAAAAGGCAAGTAGAGTTGGAATGGAATCTTAAGTGCCTAATTAACTGCCAGCACAGTCACGTTCAACAAGTTTCTTAACCTTACAATGCCTCTGTTTCCTCCTGGTAAAAACCAATGCAACTATATCTGCCTCACTGTGGGCTTAAATCCTTTGCCCAACACATCATGTGAGCACACCATATGCATACAGTAAACACTACACATTCCTTTATTATCAGCAACATTGTTAAGTAATCATCGCTAAATATAATGACAAGCAATTATTCATTCACATGAGCAATCTGAAGCATCTCACTGAAGAGATTTCTCTGGCAAAGAGTGGACTGGGTACCTTTATTCACAGAAATAAAACCAAAAAAAATGAGACAAAAATAAAATAGTACACAAATGAAGGAATGCTGAAACGTGTCCCCATAGGGCTCAAAAAGTGCCAGCCAGGAGAAAAAGGCTCTGCTCTGTTCAGAGTGAAGTGACCTTCCCGTCGTGACAAGTGAGGCACTCAGGGCCTCTGCTCCCCAAGCTGTAATTGGTTAGGCATGGTAAGCTTTCCCAGTGGCCCCACTAAGACTGAAGCCAAAGGAGAACCTTTATCACCTGACCCAGTAGCACAAGAACCAAAGCCGCACGCTATTCTACAAAGGGCAATGACAGGCCAGGCCTTTAGCAGACACTCTGGTCCAGCCTAGAGCAACTCCCCATATAGACATGATCTTCGGTCTCTAGCACGTGTCAGGACAGCACTGTGGCCCACATGGGCAGCATGGAGGTTGGTGGGCTTCCCATGGTTTCTCCTGGAGAAAGACACCATCCCTTACACTGTTTGTGGGTGGACAATAAAAGTGAGTGTTCAGCAGGATGTCCTGAGTGGCTAGCTGGCCAGGTATCTAGTACAGGGCTCTGTCAGGAAGAGTTATTTCAAGCATCCTCTGAGATGTTTTAAGGAATACCCTTCCCTTGCATGACAGTTAAACTGTATACCTGGGGCTTCAGACTGGAATGAAAGAGCAGAGGCAGGCAGATCTCTGTGAATATGAGGCCACCCTGGTCTACAGAGCAAGTTCCATGACAGCCAGGGCTGCACAGAGAAACCCTGTCTTGAAAATAATAATAATACCTGCCCCTCACTCACACCAAAGCACTACCCGTTCTCAAGTCTTCCTTGACCCCTACCCCCATCTCCCATTGTCACTCCTATGTGCTATCTCAGATACCCTGCTTTGCCCCCATAATTTCCCCTATGTTTACTTGACGTCAAAATCATCACACAGCTGATTTGAGATGGCTAGCTCCATTTGCAAAACTGGAACCAGATCACAGCTTCACAAGGAACTTGTGAGGACCAGGTTTAGAGGAAATCGTGGTAGTTAATTCCTGCTGCACTTATAAGACTTTCACATAGAAAACTGCTCTCACGTTTTCCCTGTAAGGCAAAGCCCGTTCAAAGCACATCGCAACAGAAAACAAACATCAAATTATAACTGTTGTTCTTTTGTTACGGTTATAGGAATAAAAGCTGGAGAAGGGTGGGGGTGAGTGGTCCCGGGTGAGGGTCCCAAGTGAGTGGGGTCCAAGGTAAGGGACCACGTGGGAGAGCATAGCAGGTTCCGTAGCAGGTGAGGGTGACCGAGGCGGTGAGGCAGAGGGAATAACACGCCAGGCAGATAGAGCTTAAATGAGGAGTTTATTTAGAAAGGGGAGTGAGGGGGAAGGGAAGAGACATAGAGAACAGAAGGGGAGAGAGGGGAAGGGGGGGAGAGAAGAAGAAGGGGGTATCTGGTGGCCAACCGAAAGCAGAAGAGAGAGAGAGAGAAGAAAGCAGAAGAGAAAGCAAAAGAGAGTGTAAGTGGGCAGGGGTCTGACTTTTAAAGGGGTTCGTTACACCTGCCTGCTGGGCTGACCAAAGTACTGCCTGAATCCTTACAATAACTATGTGGAGAGTTTTGAGTAGATGGCTTTGGAGGAAGTAATTTTTCAAAAACATTGCCCTTCTGGACACAGCAGTTTGTGCCTGCCATCCTAACCTTGTGAGGCTGAGGCAGGAAGACTGCTGTGAGTTCCAGGCTAGCATGGGCTACAGAGTAGAACCTTTGTGTTTCCCGATCCCACAGCAATTCAGCAACAAATACCGTACGTGATTTCTTTCACTTATTGGGTAATCATATCGTCCTTGGTTTCTGTGGAAATTCATGTTAAAGTAGAGATCACTGGCACACTAACATTTTGCTCCAGTTTCTCCCTTGAAATTCTTTTGTAAGATTGGCTGCTGATGGGGAGGAACCTCTGTGGAGTTCTCTACAGCTGAAAGCAAGCTCCATTAACAATACTGCAGTGTGTAGCTTTCAATGTATCGCTTGAACATGTCAAGGTGGACTATCCTGGAACCTGTGATTGTAAGTGAATCTTGTTTCCTTCATTTTGCTTATGTGAATTTAACAAGTATATTTACTAAAACAGGCATGCTTCACTTGTGCAATGTATTTATTTGTATGTATATGTGTGTGTAGCATTGGGATCAAACCCTAGGACCTTGCTCATGAAGCAAGTACTCACATGCCCCCCAACCTGTGCAACTCTGAAGAAGTGTTTTGTTTGTGTTGTACTGTGATTACATATGCAACATGCCTGTGTAACATGCCTGCCTACTATAATGACTCCTTAAAGTTTTTGGAGGAATGTCATTGGGACATCAAGTGACAAGTGACTGAGACAGACACTCAAAGGCTTGGAGCATGCCTCCAGGTGGAAGCCATAACCCTGATTAAGAATTCTAAAGACAAATCTTGTGATTCAAGTTCAACCTATATTAATGCCTCAATGAAACGCCACCGGCTGCTCTCTCTATGCTGGCACACAACTGGAACACACACCAGCTGAAAGATGTGATTACCGGGCTTTAACTTGCTAGCTGCTACCATTATATTCACTAACTTCTCTTAGATGCCACTGCTCTAATTCTGCAGAATCGGCTATTTACAAAGGGCAAAAACCATCATAATGAAAATGAGTTAAAAAGAAAAGGAAAGAAATTCAGGAGTGAAAAATGTGTAAACCACTTGAAACCAGGCGGGGAATCAAAGGGGGCTCTTCCACCTGCAAAGGTGGGAGGGTCTCTGTATTAACATGCAGTGCCCCCCCCCCAGACTCTAAGTGGCTAGCTCCTTCTCTGACTTGTCCAAATCAGTCTCCACTAGGTCTAAGACCTCTCCCAGCTCCACCACCCTGTCCACGACTAAGGGAACCACTATGTGCCAAGGGCTCTCTGAGACCCATCCACACTGTCCAACGTTCCATGACATGGGATAGCAATCCTGCATCTATCTGATTTGCTGGTCCCTTCTTATTTTTGGTCACTTCTTATTTTCTCTGCATTATCTCCAAATAATCTTTTTTCTGTTTATAAAATTAGTACACATACATTATGGGATATTTCAAAGCCATGAACAAGTAAAATTAAGACAAAAAACAACTGCCACCCACAGCCAAGATCTGTGTTATATTAGTATACATATCCCTACTGTTTTCTCCCACACTTCACTTTTTTCCCAAAACTAATATCATGTTTTACATATTTTTTTGTTTGTTTAACTTCTTTTGAAACCTGAGCTCACAGAACTCAAGTTAGCCTCCAACTCACTTTGTAGCTGGGGATGACTTTGAACTTCCTGCCCCCACCAGCCCAGTGGGATTATGGTCAAGCATGCCCACTCCGGGTTTATGTGGTGCTAGGGATTAAACCCAGGGCCTCATGCATGCTAGGCAAGCACTCTACCAAATGGGCTACATCCCCAGCCCCTCAGTTTAATATTTATATTGTTAATATTTTTTCTATCAGGATTTGTCCAATGGAATTTTCATGACTACATATGCAGACTATATGCAGACATTAAAACACCATTTATTTAACCAATTGCCTATTAATGGACATTTTAATTCCTCCTAATTTTACAATAACATGGAGTGGAGATTTATATATTTATATATAATTTTGTACCAATATATGATTATTTCTTTAAGATAAAACAATAACAGCAGTTACTGGGACAAAAAAAAAGATTTAAAAAAATGGACTAGTGTTTTTAAGCTCTATGTATAAATGCCATTTCATCACACTGGTATTAGTTATCACTGGGTATATTATTTTCCATTTTACTTTGTTTCCATTTGTAATTGGTAAAAATTAAAATTTTGGGGAGTATGGAGAGATGGATCAGAGGTTAAGAGCACTGGTTGTTCTTCCAGAGGTCCTGAGTTCAATCCCCATCACCCACATAGTGGCTCACAACCATCTGTAGTGGGATCTGATGTCCTCATCTGGCATAAAGGCATGCAAACAGAGCATATTAAATCAATCAATCAATTAATTAATATTTTGTTTTTGCTTTTTGTTTAGTTTTGTTTTCAAGACAGGATTTTTCCATGTGACAGTCCTGGATGTCCTGAAACTCACTGAGATCCACCTGCCAAGTGCTGGGATTAAAGCTGTGTGTCACCACTGTCTGGCAAAACTTTGTTTTGTTTTGTTTCTAATTATGTCCACTTTTCTCTCTCTCTCTCTCTCTCTCTTTTTTATTGTTTTCTTTTGTTTTTGAGACAGGCTTTGGCTATGTAGCTGAAGCTAACCTGGAACTTGGGACCATCTTGCCTCAGTTTTCCAAGTGCTGGAATTATAGGAAGACATCACTGGGCCCAAAATAGTAATCTTTTTCCTGTTTATTTGGTTTGTTGATTTCTGCTTGTTTTTCTTTCAGTGCTGGGAATTGAACCCAATGCCTTCCATATGCTGGAGATGTGTTCTGCTCCTCGCTGCCGTGTTAAGTACTGTGCATTAACCCACTGCACCATTGGAAGTCTCTTCTCTACCCTCAATCCTGGTTCTCTTTTAAATTTCTTAAGTCTCCAGCTTTCCCCAACCAAACAAGGTGGTCATTGTTTCTTTTGGGGAAGAAGCCAGGGGAAGGATAGCTTTAGAGACAGGGTTTCTCTGTGTAGCCCTGGCTGTCCTGGAATTTGCTCTGTAGACCAGGCTGTTCTCTAACTCAGAGGTCTGCCTGTCTCTGCCTCACAAGTGCTGGGATTAAAGGCATGTTGCCACCAACAACACACTGGTTATGGTTTTTAAGGACTTTACAAAACCCTTTTTTTACAGATTGAGAGTATTAACTCTTTTCTTGATTAAATGTATTGTCAATGTGTTTAATATATACAGTGTGCCCATATGTTTTGGGAAATTCCCCTGATCTCTGGTACTCCCTCATACTGAACAATCCCCAGGCTGTAGGGTAACAAGTCCCCCACTGTGGAAAGAAACTCATTATGATTAAAGGACCAAAAGGTCATCAAAGTCAACCCACTCATTTCCCCCCATGAAGGAAATGAGGAAGCCAAGAGCTACAGAAAGCAGTTTAGCTGGCTCAAACTGACTGACTCCACGCCCAGAGTGGAACCTGCTGAGTCAGCACATTTTCCATCTACAGGGGATGTTTCAAATGCATTATGGCTTTTCTTTAATATTTAAGCACAAAGCTCATATAGCCAGCTGGCTCTTCCAAAGTATTCATTCCAAACTACCCCATCCCTCCAGGGGAAAGTTTCCACCACATAAAAGTGACCTTTTTACTCAAAAAGTAGCTTCCACTTCTAACATGAAATTATTCTTCAGAGAGCTACTCCCTTCTGTGCTGGCTTCCTTTCCAGATGTATCATCTCTCTTTTGGGTAACCATTACCATAAGTCCTTTAGAATAAACCCTTAAGTCATGATGAGGAAGGCAGGCCATTTGGCTTTGGACATTTAAGCCCAGAGCACTGAGCAGAGTGTGGCGAATTTGGTTAGTGTGAACACTTAGCATCACTGATCTGTGAAGGGCCCAGGTGTGGAGTCTAAGGGCCTGGTTAGATTCTCATCGCCCTTGCTGATTAATAACAAAACCTCAGGTGAGTCACAGAACCGGAGCTTCAAGGTGCGAATGATAACATGTAGCCTGCACAACCTCTAAGCCAAATGAGAGGATGCTGTGTCCCGAACCAAGCTAAATGTCCAACCTTCTGCAAAGAATAATGAATACTGGCATCTACCAGATGATGTTTGAAGATCCTTATGGAAATTGCCTCATTTGATAGCAACAATACTCTGCAGCCAGCACCAATGTCCTTCCTCCCTCCCCCAGTTTACAGAGGGCAACAACAAATAAGACACAGAGTAGTAACAGGCCTTGCCCAAGATGACAAGCTATGAATGGAGGTAGACTGCTAAGGTCTGAACACTAGCAGTTGGTCGAGGAGCCCATCAACTGTGCCTCCATCCCCTCTGACTCTCATGCTCCCTTGGGTCAGGACTGCCTACCGCTGTAACCTTAACAAAACTGGATCCAAGTGGAAGTGGGAACACTGAATGGTGATTTCCAGTGTATGAGCGATTTCCTCCTCACTCTGGGCCTGATCGACAGCAAACAGATTTCTTTAACCACCTTCACACACCACTGACCAACTGTAGGGACAGAAGACTGGCACCATGCCAAGTGTGTTGGTGTACTCCTACAACCCCAGTACTAGAGTGGCTAAAGCAGGGGGATAGTGAATTCAAGCTCAGTCTTGGCTACATAGCAAGTTCAAGACTGGCTTGGACTACTTAGCTAGTAGTTCTCAAAAATAAAGAAAATAAAAACAAGAGCAGGGGATATGGTTCAGTAATACAACATCTGCCTAGCAAGCCCTGGGGTGAATCCCCAGTAGAGAAAAACAGCAAAAACAAATGAAAAACCTATTGTCTTTGTAGAATGTTGTTGGACAAAATTTGGTGATGTGGATTTGACAGGACTGACCACTTTTAAACCTCCCTCCTCTGTAGGACAAAACTATTCCAAGAACAACCATGTTTTTGAGCCAAACTTTGGCTTTAGAATAAATTATAAAATACATTTCAAATCTAAAATCTTATTTAAATTCAGTAAAAACATTTATGTGTGCACTAAGGTTTGCCCTTATACTCAAATTAATTAAAACACAAAATTCCAAGAGGTCACCTGGAACAACAGGGTTCAAGAACCCAGATCTGATTCCGGGTCGTTACCGTTACCCTTAGGTCACCATTGAATCCCAATCTACTGTTCAAGCGTAGGAATATAAATGATTGGGGAGGTATAATTTGCCCCCAAAGCTCTGGTAGAATCTACACATGCTATAAAGGACTTACTCTGAGACAGGCAGGCATGGTGCCCTCTGTAATGCCAACACTTAAGAGTCTGAGGCAGGATTGACATGAGTTTGGAACCTATCTGGTCTAATACTTGGGCGGGGCTCTATAGCAAGACCTTATCTTAGTAAAGAAAAAAGAAATAGATGAAAGGAAGGAAGGAGGGGTAGAGGGAGGGAAGGAGGGAAGAGGAAAGGGAGGGGGAGAGAGAAGTAAAGAGATAAGAGAGAAATAGGAAAAGCAAGCAAGGAAATAAATCAGTCTGATTCCATCACTGACATCATACCGTGACCGGCAAAGCAGACCAACACTGGTCTCACTGCTGTTTTAAACTCTTCACAAACCATGCGCCCCTCACCACCTTGTGCCACCCCACTCCTGATATCCCTGCCAGTATCTACCAAAAGTTTAAATGCATACCTTTTAACCAGCAACTCTATTCTTTCAACACATTGTGCTGGATACTTGAGAATTTCCATTGCTGCAGCACTTGGAACAGCAACAAAACAGATCAGCCTCTGTGCATTGCCCAGCAGTGTATACTATACCGACTGAGAAACAATTTAATCCCAGCACCGGGAGGCAGAGGCAGGCAGGATCTCTGTGAGTCTGAAGCCAGCCTGGTCTACAGAGTGAGTTCCAGGACAGGCTCCAAAGCAATACAGAGAAACCCTGCCTTGAAAAAACAAAAAAACAAAACAAAACAAAAATCTAGCAGGTAAATGGCCTTGCTCTCAGCAACGAGCAGCCATTCCAGCTTGCTGGACATGCTCTCCTCACCTTATACTTTCCCCTCAAGAAAGAGCAAGCCCTAGGAGCATGGCTGCTGTGCTTTATTTAGAATGCCCACTCCTTAAATTCTCTAAGTAAGAGAAGAGTCCGGTTAGAACAGTAGTTCCTAAGGTTGTCTTAGAGTTTTAAAGCCCCATTAGGCATACAGACATGAGTACTTTTTATGTAGATTATATCACAAATATAGTTCACAGCGATTCAATTAAATGTCTCCCTAGATGTTCAGCTGAAAGGTCAGAAAATTAAGACACGAATTTGTGGCACCAGTGAACCTCCCAGAGCATCTCAGAGTAAGGTTCTTCTGTTTTTATTTTAATGGCTTAATTTATTGCTTACATGTATAATGTTCTATTAACTTAGAAATTCACAGAAGTCTGAAAAAAATGTGACAATCTGCCTTTAATTGGCTTCTGCTTAATTTCGTCTAATGGGGACAGAAGGCGACAAAGAAAATGTTAATATAGTTTTAGACTGGGGCTAGAGGTTTAAAAACATATTGTTAGTACTTAACGGGTGATAATGTCTCTGACCTTCACATTTTTCTTTATAGAAGTGATTGATTTCTCGGCAGGAGGCAATGTGCAATCCACAGGAAGGCATCATGATGTGGCTGCATGAAGCTCAGGCCCCAGAAGCTTGAATCTTGGGAAATAAAATCCTAAACCAGAAAGAGAAAAAGTAGGTTCTGCACAGAAAATGGCCTTGCTCTCAACTTCCTCCCCTGTGAAAATTAGAACAGGGGCAAATGCAGACTCCATCAGAGGTGAATAAAAAATACTAAGGGAACTCTGAGGGTGGTGTTAAAATCTGCCAGGGCAGTGAGATCCAGGGGGTGACATTTGAATTGGATCCTGGAGGAAAAAGAAAGAGAGGAGGATAGAGCATGAAGAAGTGGCCCTAAGCCCAGGGGAACATGTGGGAAAGCCTGCACAGGGAGGTGGGGCTCATAGGCTCTGTGCCTGAAGCACAGGTTGGAGTGACACTGGAGCAGATTTGTGACCAGACCCATTCTTTGCACTGCAGGAGCCTTCTCTCTGGATTCCAGTCCCTTCTGCTCTGTCCCTACAGCATCAACAGCTGTGCTAGTGGTACAAGCCCTGCTACCCTTCCCAACCTCGGTATCCTCAACTCTGCTGCCCTCCTCAGTTCTAATATGTGCCCTTATTTGCTCTCCCTTCCCCAGAACCCTACTCAGATGCCACCTCTTCCATGAAGTCTTCCAGCAACTTCCATAAAACATTCTTTTTCTGCTATTGAAGAAATTTTAATAATGTATGGGGAATACATATGATAACAAATGTTACATGAAAAAAAAGCACAAAACAGTAAATACAATACAATCCCCAACTTCTTAATGAAATGAGGGGAGAGGGATAGAAGCCAGGAACAATCTACCAAAATACTAGTACTATAGTAGTGTGATTACAAAAAAAAAAAAAATTTTTTTTTTTTTTTTGAGACAGGCTCTTTTTAGGTAGCCCTGGTTATCCTTGAACTCGATATGTAGATCAGGCTGGCTTAAAGGAATGTGCTGCCACATCTGGCTTAATTTCTTTTTCTTTTTTTTTTTTACGTTTATTTATATTTTCCAAACTTTATTTACATACATACATAATACATACATACATACATATTGCTTCTGTATGAATAAAATCTTATGATACTTTGTAAAAGAAAATATAAATATACCCTCCAGTTCATTTGCTAATACTGTTGAAGAGTCACTTCCTCCTCCTACTTCTTGTATTTTTTGAGACAGGGTCTCACTAGGTAGCTCTGACTGGCTCACTCTTGAATTTAACAGAGATCTGCTTGCTGGGATTAAAGACATTCACCACTATGCCCAGCTGGATAGTCACTTTTAAGAAAGTATGACACAGGATGCATGACCCAGGATGGACTGGGATAGTAGAACGTTCTCAGACAAGTCCAAAGACCCCACTGCTATCCTTCATGGCTGCCTCATTTGCCAGGCCAATGAGAAACTGCTAAAGAACCTACCCCAATTTAAAATAAAAGGGGATATGCTGTCCAGTAACCTGAAGCTGTATTTTTTTGTCCCAATATCCCTCCCAAAGGGGGGTAAATACTGTTGAAGTTACTTTTTTTTTTTTTAAGCTAACTCTTTGTAAGTATGAAAAAGCTGAGACCATCACAAGGGACTGTCAGGCCATGAGAAAAGAACTCAGTGAGGCAGATGACATTTATAAACCAGAAGGAACAAATGACAGACTGAGTACTGACTACTGCTCCAATGGGCTCTCCAGGCATTAACCTGCAGTGCCCACCAGAGACATGGATAGAGCCTAACACAACTCCAAAGGACACATCAGTCACAAGTAAATGTGCTTCCTCCTCTACCCACAAGGAGCCAGAGCAGAAAGCAAGGGACGAAGATGAATGAAGAAGATGGCATCCACCTGGATACCTGTCAGACATTCTCAAATCCTCCCCAAAGAAGCATATATTTTTACCATAGGCCTTGGAAAAGTGTGTATACTCCCATGGCAGCTCTCAGCATCAAGAAAGTTAAGAAAATCAAAGGCAGTACATTTAAAAACCACATTAATGTATGAATTGCCACCTAAGGCAAAAATGACAAGAGTTGAAGGGAGGTTGTTTTGGTGTTCAGATTAGTGGTGTCCAGTTCTCCCATTCAGGGCTCCACTGGACCCCATTTCTGACACTCCTGCTATATAGTTAGAACCTTCCTGAATACATGTGCCCCTGTTTGAAAGAACGTGTGTAGCCTTACCTAGCCTGAGGTAATTTGTTATAGTACTAGAAAACTAAACTAATAGACCACGCCAAAAATATCACCCAGACCTCACAGCCCATTGACCAAACAGTGAATGAGGAGATTAAAATGCTTGCATTATGCCAAGCAAGCTTTCTCAATACACTTGAACTTTTAAAACAAAGGAACCAGTGGGAAGAACATCGCAACAGAGAAACCCAGAGCTGCCCTGTGGGGCAGCTGTCAAAGCACTGTCCCGTTAAGAAAAATCACTCTTCCTAGGAACCACGTGGAATCCTTATCTCTGTCACTGGATCAGGGTGGCACAGTAAACTGTATCTGAGAATGTGTTGCTACTGGCCCTCCCAATCAGATCTCTCTTTGGGCTTATGTATTTCAAAGATTTTGTTGTTGTTGTTGGTATATTTTTTATGAATAAATCTTGCCCATAAAAATAATTCTGAAAACTTCCCAATGGGATCTTGTTTTGTTTCTAACCTGATCCAAGATAGGTAAGGGTGTGGGTGTGATGGGGGGGGCCTCTATGTGTCTGTGTGTGTATCTGTATATCAGGTTCAATCTCTCTGTGTGTATCAGGGTTTGTGTGTGTGTGTGTGTGTGTGTGTGTGTGTGTGTTCGTTCAGGTACTAGAAGAGTGAGATCCACACGTGGCATTTTATCAGAAACAAGGTTTAAAGAAACTTGCTGCCTGGGGTTCAATGGGAAGAGTCTGTTCTCCCCTCTGCACCCCACTGTACACATGATTTAGAGGTTTCCTTTCTCCATCATATGAAAGCCTGTTATCTTACTTTTTCCTTTACTTATCTTCTCCTGGCTGAATTCCAGGGTCTTCTTGGCCGACTTATCATTGCCATTTGTGCATAGAGCAGTATATTCTGGGCCTCTCATTTTTAAGGATTACAGACCAGAATCTAATCAGATCCCTACAGCAAGAGGACAAACAGCAGAAAATAAGTACCAGTGATGTGCTCTGCCACAAATGAGACATCTAGCTATCACTCACTCACACACACACACACACACACACACACACACACACACTTCTCAAAAGACCATTACAGAGAGTGGGTGTAAGAGCCAGAGTTCAGAGGGGACAAGGACGAAACATCATCTTCTGGACTCACTGCCCCTATGAACTCACGGCAGCTGTGGTTGCCTACACAAGATCAGCAAAAGACAAAGCCATCGGTACACATGCTGTCATGGAGATGGGAGGGGGCCATAAGCCCTGCTCCTAGCTGAGAAGCTGTTGACAGTTGATGGTTGCTAGCAGGGGAAGGCTATTTTCTTCAGGGGTGTGGCCCCCGCTGTATTGACGGCCTGCCCCCAAATGTATGTGGGCAGAACTAATTAGACTCAGAGGGTGAAAAAAAGAATAGGAAGTTGGCAGTGTGGAAGTTGATCTGGATTTATCAGAACAAGTTGGAAGTGGATATAATCAAAATACATTGTGTGCATGTATAAAATTTTCAAATAATTACATTTATTTAAAAGATCCCAGCAACATACTTCCTGGTCTAGGATTATCAAGGATTTAAGTCTTGGGGAATCTTCTCCACAAGGAAGCAGTTCCCAGATCCAAAGAGAAGGCACAACTGACCTTTAAACCGCTTCCACAAAGTCGAGGACTCGGGGGAGTTGACCGAACATAATGGCGATATCTTGATAATTGGTGGCATTGGATGAATATATATGACTCAAATTATTTCTTATTTTTCCCAGCATTCTAATGATCCCTTGTTATAGTTGTAAGTGTAGCTTTTAAATTCAGACAATTTTTATATTCTAAATATTTAAAGAACTTATTGAAACAATTTTATTTTAAAAATGAAGAATACAATGAAATACTTTTTACTAATAAGGCCAATTTTGCACAGTGATGAATTTTTAATTACATTTATTTATTTGCTTATCTTATGGTCAATTCCCTTCTCCCATCATGTGGGTCCTGAACTCAGACCATCAGACTTGGTGGCAGGTGCCTTTACCCACTGGGACATCTGGCCAGCCCCATATTTCTTCCTGATTTTTCAGGTTAGCATACACAGGAAAGGGCTTCATCATGGCATCTTCCTTTACATGTGCATTTATCCTTCATTCTCTTCCATTCAGGACTCATTTTACTAGTTCCTTTTTGTTGTTGTTGTTGTTTTGTTTTTTGTTTTTTTTGTTTGTTTGTTTGTTTGGCTGTATTAAAATTTTTGGAACAATACAATTTTAAAAAAAAAAATCAACATCTCACTTTCCCAGAGTCATTTTCCCCCTTTGAAGGGAAAGTTCTCAAGTCTGATTGAAATGGGTTTGCTGACAGCATAATTAGCATCTGATACTCCCTATATATTCATTTTTTTCTCCAAACTATTTACTTTTTTCTTTAATCAATGGTCATGGGATATGCTTATACTAAAATTATTACTAGTTCTTTATCTGAAATTTAGAATTTTAGCTGCTATTTGGTATTTTTATTTAGTTAAGTTAGGATTCGGGGAATCTAATCGAAAGTCAAGATAATTGCACTAAGCTCAGTTGCTGGTGCAAGTTCAAGGTCCTGCCTGCATACAGAGAATAAATGGGTTACTTTCTGCTTGGTCACCAGAAGCAAGTTACTGTCTCTGGACTTAATTTTATCACCACAGAGAACAAATGGATTTCATCCCAGTTCTAAATGCTATGGAGCATTTAGATCTGTGTGTTCCTTCTTCCAACTCCTAGAAAAACAGCTACACCTTGCATGTCTGTCCATAACGGACTACATATCCAGTGATGATGCCACAATATTATAGCACCTATGATGTCATAGCTACCCCCTCCTCCACCTGATGTTATAGCTGGACCCCATCCCCACTCCGCTCCTACCCCAGTCCTGGAGATGGGACCAGTACTGGAGATGTGAACATTCT